TTAGACGTACGTATGAAAGAATTTCTTCCAAAACAGAAAGTGTGACCATGATAATCACGGGTTAACTAGAAGCCTGCAGCATAAAGTTTTGCCTTGTGACAAGATAAAGTAAATTATTCTGAAAGAACAACATATCCTCTCTTTTGTAACTTGTAAGTAATCATCGTTCTACAGGAGTTCAATATCAAAGTTCTATGCCTGTGATATTGTTTTGAGAAATCATGCCAAAGTAAGGTATCTATATACTAATTCATAACCCAAATTTTCAAGATACAGGACTTGTAAAACATCTCAGTTGAATGCAAATTATAATTAAACAACATAGTTCTAGTTTGATATAGGTTTTTTTGTGTTTGTCTTAATTAAAATGATATTATAGACTAAACATTAGAGTTTTAAGTTAATTGATTTGAACTCTAGATTTAGTTCTAGATCTATTCTCGTAATTTTAAATTTATATTACAGAGCTACACGAATATCAATATAATTAAATTTATTTCTATATAAATAGTAGTTCAAATTTATAGAGTGATTCATACTCTAATTACATCCATAAATTAAAATTCCTAGATAATAGATTTGTTTTTGATATTTTTGGTTTATGGAATTGATACTAATTATAAAAAAAATTGCAAACTTATTTTGTTATTGCCTATAGAGTTATCACCTACTATTTTATCGCTTATAATGTTATTGCCTACAAAATTATAGTCTATTTTTATCAATCTACAATTGCATACGTAATTGATAAATAGATTTGAAAGATCATGTGAACTTGTTATAACTGTAGTCCAATTGCCGCTGTTGTTTTGTTGAATATGAGTTCTTAATTGCCTTGTCTCCTTTTTTAAATTATAAAAAAATTCAAGATAACGTCCAGTGACTACTTAATCATCTTATTTAAAATAACTTCTAATAACTATATATTTATTTTATTAAAGATAACTACCCACTTATTTCTTGTTTTAAGGATCTTGATTTTGTATCATGTAGACTCTTTATATCTTTTATTAACAATCTACGTTCAAGTTTGGTCTGCAATCAAGTTTGGCATGTTTTTCTTAATCTAAACATCTAAACTTTATAGCATTTTGATCGATTTTAGTGTATATATAACAATCCCCACTATTAATGCTCGTGCACGTATAATATCCGGGTATGGTTTTTGGCTACTATTGAGACGATATATTGGTATAAAGTCCATCAAGAGAGTGGCCAAAAACAAAGGTACAGAAGTCTTGTAATCAAAAGAGAAATACAGAAAATTAAAGCCAGGGGAACCAAGCCCTCAAGGTTTAGCTTGTGAATAGAGAAATTAGTTTATTCTATAGCTGCGGGAAAGACCCTATTCAGAGGAATAACTCACCATTCATATGTACGTACCATAGACATTTCATAAAGTTGTATATAGCTTGTGCAGACAGTAAATTATTTATTCTATTCCTTCTAAGCAGTATAAAAAACATTTAACATTTTGCTTCGTGATGCACAATATCCTTAAATAAATCACCATCTCTATAAATTAATAAAACACAAATTTGTGGCACCAGGATTGGGAACGCAACTCAAGCTGGTTACACAGCAGCGTAGTCGGCAGACATTTACTTCAACAAACTTTGGGGCTGCAAGTTCTGTGTGAATGTATGTTTACATGCTTTTGTTTATGCATTAATTTTTTATATTAATGTTATTTTTGGTGGATATAAATGATGCTATTTATTTAAGTACTTGAAAGGTTGGCTTGAATGAATGATTTATATATATATATATATAATGTATCAGTTTGTACCTCAACTACTTTCAAATCATATATAGATTTCATGGATACATGAGATCCTAAATCTTACCACTGATCAGCCAGTTTATGTGGTTGAAACTTTGTTATGCTATGGCATATTATTTATGTAAAATTTGTTTGGTTCTTTATGATTTTGATAGCAATGTGTTTAACTTGTTGAAAAATGTTCCAATATTTACAAAAATGTGTTTAACTTGTAAAAAACGTGTTTAGCTAGATGAATCCCTAATCTGACTTGGTAAAATTAGGCTTGAGACAAAATTCTTTTTTATGAAAATATATAACCGTTTAGTTTAAGAACTAAAATAAATGAATAAAAGGAAAACGTAGATGAACTCCTAATATATATGAAAATAGAATTATTAGTCCTTGTATATAATAAGGAAAAAGAAAAAAAATGGTCCTTTTGTATGTTGTTTTTAATTTTCTCAAGTTCGTTTTGTAACTATGCTGATTTATTTTTGAAAAATGTGTTTGCTAGGGACGTGTCGTCAAAGATTGATTTAGCCCATCTGTCTCAAGATATTGTAGAACTATGGAATGAATGGCAGATTCGGTCTTTAATGTTACTCAGTCTCCTTCTGCAAATCTTGCTCTCCTTTTATGGAGAACGACGGAAGTTTACTAATGGACGTTTGCTTGGGACTTTTCTTTGGGTAGCATACCTGTCTGCAGATTGGGTGGCAACTTTTTCGTTGGGTATCCTTGCTCGCAGCGAAGCCGACTCCGCAAATCCGAAATTAATTCCTGTATTTTGGGCTCCAATCCTTCTTGTTCACCTTGGTGGCCCTCGAACTATTCCTGTTTATTCAACGGATCGAGCCAGCAAATTATTGATAGATCGCCTTTTTCAGCTAGTAAACCGTGTTGTTGTGGCTTGTTATGTCTTGTTCAGGTTATGGAACAACAATGTCATCACGTCGGTATTCATTCCCATCTTTGTATCAGGAATCATCAAATATGGTGAAAGGATTTGGGTTTTGACGAGAATCCACGTATACAATAATGTGTCGCCACAACCTTTTGCGGAAGTACATCGCATCAAGATTAAAGATATTTTACCCTGCTACAAGAATACAAGAAGTGAGGTCATATATCTCCATGAATCTTATATTTTATATAAAACGTTCCAGGTACTGTCCAAGAATTTTGATCTCGTCAGATTGGATCAAAAATTCACCTATGATTTGGTTTCTAAAAAGGAAGCGGAGGAAGCCTTCCACTTGATAGAAGTTGAGCTGGGATTCAAGTATGATCGGCTTTATTCTAAGGTGACAAGGATTTCCTGGTGTCGCGTCATTCTCCGCTCTACCACCTTCTTATCATCTATTTCTGCATTAGTTTCCTTCTCAATAATGACAAAGAGCAATAGTGTCTATTCGAAAAACGATAAGATTATATCTTACGTGTTGCTGAGTGGAGTTGTGTGCCTTGAAACTTATTCCATCATTATGCATCTCTTTTCCGACTGGACTATTATTTGGCTTACCAGTACTAGTGAAAGAGCTGGTGGTATTCCCCGTGGAATCAATTGTCTTTCTCTGTTACTAACATTTTGTAGGAAGTGCAAAAGATATTGGTCAGGATCTATGGGACAACACAACCTAATAAGTGCTCAATCAAACAACAAGCTTCTTAAGAAGTACTTTCCATGGATCATAGGGAGCATTGATAGCCGGCAAAAAGTGGGGAAGGATTTAAAAGAATTGATCTTCAAACAAGTCAAGGATAAACGTTCAAGGTACGATCCCGATATCAGTGATTTCACTTTCCTCAAGAATCTATTGAAAGAGAGAGGTCGCGAGGCACTTCAAAGCAAGGATTGCATCGGTAAATTTGGATGGAGTGTGGATGGTGTAGAATTCATTCATAGCCTCCTCACTTGGCACATTGCTACTCATGTTTGTTACTTATATGATTCTGATCAGAAGAATGGTTTTCACAAGAAGCGAAAAAGTGTAATATTGAACAGCACATTATTATCCGATTACATGTTGTATCTCCTGGTTAATTGTCCAACCATGTTAGCGAGAGAGCCCAGCGAAACAAGGTAT